TTTTGAGAGAAGTTTTTCATCATGATTAACTTGTTTGTTCATACTATCGAGCTTAAGAGAGCAAATGATTTGATCTTGTTCTAAAACCACTTCACTGTACTTAAGCCTTTCATCTATTAACTCTCCCACTTTTGTTTCAAGCCTTATCTTGGCTCTCGTGGCTTCCTCGAGTTTAGACTCAAGCTCAGTGATTTGTGATTTAAGATGATCATTTTCAGAAAGGTTTTGATTAAGCTCAATAGTCAATCTTTTGAAAATTTTCCGGGCTTTGGTTTTGGATAGAGAGTCAAACTTAGATAGAAAATTTTCAAAGTTTACCTCGAAGCTCTCTTGGTCGGATTCCTCGTCGGAGTGTGCCATAAGACATAGACCTGTATGGTTAGAGTTCTTATCACTCTCCTCTTCTTCGTCATCGGATGAGTCTCCCCATGCTGCCATCATTGCCCTTTTGAGATCTCTTTTGAACCCTTTGTCTTTGCTGGACCTCCGGTTAGAACTGGACTTGTTCTTGTCGTAGGTCCGGTCATTTTTCTTTTGTGAACAGTCTTTAGCCCTGTGCTCAAGGGAACCACAAACAAAACAGCCTTGGTTATTAAAAGATTGAAAGTTATTTTTACCTTGTTTGTTCCGGTTGTTCTTGAACCGTCGGTACATCTTCCCGAATTGTCTAGCAAATATGCTCATCTCATCTTCCGATTCACTTTCGGATTCTTCCTCCTCTTCTCGAGCTTTTAGAGCAATTCCTCTCTCTCGCCTTACAGTCTCAGCGTCTTGCTCTTCTTGAAGCCCTAACTCATATGTCAAGAGTGAACCGGTCAAGTCTTCAAGAGTCATGGTGGATAGGTCCTTTGCTTCCTCAATAGCCGTGGTCTTAGGCTTCCATACCGAGGGCAAGCTTCTCAAAATTTTTCTCACTTGATCTTCCACAGTAATTTCCTTTCCAAGGGCTGAAAGCTCATTGATGATATTAGTAAAACGTGTAATCATATCCTTAATTGACTCTCCAGGCTTCATTACGAATAATTCGTAATTACGCATAAATATGTCAATTTTAGATTTTTTTACACGTGAGGTACCTTCATGAGTAACCTCGAGCAAATCCCACATTTGTTTGGCAGACTTGCATCCTAGAACCCGGTTGTGTTCGGCAGGACCAAGTCCACAAATCAAATATTTTAGTGCTTGGGCATTATGCTCGAGTTTTTGATAATCATCAGTAGTAAATTCAGATTTCGGTTTAGGAACAACATTACCTTCGCCGTTTAGCTTTGTGATGACATTGTCGCCACCTTCTATCACATTCCATACCTGATAATTATCGGCTTTGATAAAGTTCTCCATCCGACTCTTCCAGAACTGATAGTATTTCCCATTGAACAATGGTGGTCGTTGAGTCGAGTAACCTTCTTCCAATCGGTCAACCGTATTCATTTTTCCGGATCTCTTCCCAAGGTATTAACCTCTATGTGGTGAAGACCGGCTCTGATACCAATTGATGAAAACGGTTAGCAACACAAGAGGGGGGGGTGAATTGTGTGTGTGGAACCGTGGCAGTTTTTCGCCCAGTTCTAGTGCGGGGTGAAGGGTATTGCGAAATAGTAAAGTGCACAAGGATTTAACGAGGAAAAATCCCTTGGCTCAAAGGGATTAAAAAACCTCGACCTCCCTCGGAGGAATTTTAACAACTTCACTAAAAAGCCTTTGAATGATTACAAGGGAAACTCTCCTAGTCTACCCTTGAGCCACCCCAACTCTATCCTCTCTAGGAAGAGTTACGCTTCTCTACCTTGCGGGTAGAGAGCCTCTCAGCTTTACAACAAAGCTCTCACAACACACGTTACCCAACCCGAGGAAGCTACACTTAGCTAATCCTCAATAACCCAATTACAATATAGGAAGAGAATAAGAACTCTGTCTAGAACTCCGGGAGCAGTTTCAGGTGCCTTGAACTTTGTATTTCTCTCGAGTATCTCTCTTGATATTTTCTCGGTCAAGCACACCCTGCTTCTTCTTCTTGATCTCGATTATATAGTCTACTAGGAATGGATCCGTTGAGACACTTCTTTCCTTGAATGGTTGAGGAACTTGCCTTGAAATAATTCAAAATGCTTTCCTTTTATTTAAGGATCTTCTAGCTCTTAATTATGATGGTCCTTGGTCAACCATATATATGGGAGCAGGAGGATACGTGCATACCATGAGCAAGTCAAAAAGGTATAGAGCATATTATGTGATCAACCATTTAGTAATAATTCCACAAAGATATATATCAATACATATCAAGGGAAGTTATTTATTCACTTAAACTATGCAAGCATGCAACGGATCATATTTCAAATAATATGCAGGAGAATATTTGTTAAATAGGTATGCACAATCAACTAGCTAATCAATTAAGGATTCTTTCCATAAAATAATAAGCTATAATAATAAATCATGCATGAAAATATATTTTTGCTTAAAATAATATTCTTGACAAAGTATAAGCACTCATATAAGGAAAGCACATATTAATTAAATCATACACCATGTAAATCAACCGTTCACACAGAATACAATTAAGAATAATTTTGTCTTCCGTTCCGTATGGAACTGAGAGCGGTTCCGTCCGCAGTTCCACCTGCATAGTTAGTCATTAATAAAACTACATACTCAACAGATTCTTTCCTTTGAGATTGGTCTTCTTAGATGGGCAAGATCAGGACTTGATGTACTATCTTTAATAGCTCGGATCTCCATATATATTTCGGTCCTCTTGCATGGAAATCATTCAAAAATATTTCCTTATAGGTATTAAAAGATATTCTTTTTATTTGATTGAAGGAAATCATTTTTCTTAAGGAAACATTCCTTGTGAGAAGATATGCACGAAAATCCTTTTTGAATTTTGAATAACAACAATTATTTTGGAAACTTGCTTTGTAGAAATATCTCTTAATTAATGCCTTTGATTTAAATAACTTTCCTTTAAAGAAAAAATCCTTTCTTTGTATGATCATTGATTATTTTCTTGCTTAAAAGGTTCTCTTTAATTTAGCAAGATAGATCCGAAATTAAATGGAGAGAAAAGATATTTTAAGCAAGCCGGATTAATCAATCTTGGATTTACGGTGCAGTTCTCGGACCAGTTCTACGGCTTGTTCCAGAGCACGACTTAAACTCTTTTCATGTAGTCACTTACAACCAAAAGTAACACTAGTCGTTTGTCATCAACAAAACAATACGTTCCAACACCGTTTTTGCAGGCCGGGCCGGGCCCACCCACCCACGATGGGTAGAAAACTTATGAAAAGCCTGGCCCGAGCCCGGCTCGAACCCGCTTTTGTGAAGTCTACTCCTCAGTCCACAGAGACAAAAGAGACAAAGGGTTCGTTTGGATATTAGCGTGTTATGTTTCAATCCCCCATTTTTTGTGAAGGAAAACGCTGCTAAAAGCAGCAGTTAGGTCCCGATCCGTCAAAATACAAACAGGGCCAAAATGTAGAACTGGTAACAAAAAGTTGATCACGGAAGATAACATGTTATCTCGAATGGAAAGTTGTGATTATTTTTCAGTTACGATTAAGTAAAATTATTCTAACAATACCGAATGTGAGATTACGAGATTCCATTTTTCCAATTCTATAAAGAAATTGGAAAATGGAAACTAATAATCCAACCTTTTAGCGGTCTTCTTTCAATAATCCCACCTTTTGATTATTCATGAATAATCCAACCTTTGCACCTCATCTTCATTTATTGGTCTCTGGTCAGTTAATGACCTACTATTCCAAGTTATTTTCTTATCTTTGCAAAATATTATCTTTGTGAAAGATAAGATTTATAGTATAATGATTTGCAAAGATAAGAAAATAGCTTGGAATAGCAGGTCATCAACCGGTCAGGGACCAGTGAATGAAGATGAGGTGCAAAGGTTGGATTATTCATGAATAATCAAAAGGTTGGATTATTGTAAGAAGACCGCTAAAAGGTTGGATTATTAGTTTCCATTTTCCATAAAGAAATCAAAAAACTGACCTTAACTTTATTTTGTTGCTCAGATCGTTGAAATGTGTACGTTATGTGTGTGTCAATATTTAAGATAACATTTCAAATGAAATAAGTTTTTTATCATTAATTCAAAACATACAAAAAAAGATATTAAACTGAGAGGCATAAGAGAGACACTACAAAAAAACACGAAATTGGTAGGGATTTTGACAGGGATTTATCAAATCTGTGCAAAAAAAAACTTTGGCAGGAACTACTTGACACGAAAAATCGGTAATCCGTGCCAAATTCTCATGTCAATCCTGTGTTTTTTTTTGTACTGAGAAGAACATGAAGGGAGAGATATGGGGGAAAAATAAACTACATATAAACATTTCAGGTTTAATTTTGTGCAAGTTGCTGAATCTGCACATCCTAGATGTTTAGATGTGAAAAATGTAGCGATTCATAGATAAGCGTGTCAGCACTCCGCAATGGCGTAGGCAAAAGGTGTTTTTAAAACTTTATCATCAACCGGTCAATCATGGACCAACAATCCTCCAAAATTTAAATTAGCCCAAATAATCCTATTGGGCTGCCAAAAATCAGCACAGACTATTAGGCCGGCATAATGGGCCAATCCATAAGCGTTCAAAAGCACAACTTGTTATAGTCAACTTAAATAGGTAGCCTAGTAGTAGTAAAACAATTTTGGTCAACTTAATTTTTTTGAAAAAAATATATAAGAATGATTATCAGTTTACAAATTAACTTCCAAAGTGATCAGGATTGAGGCTTCTATGCATGTGTTTATCAAGTTAAACATTTTTATGCAAAAAATTAGATTGATTGTCAAGTTAAAAATTAGCATACAAATTAATCTAACTTTGACGTGCCAATGAGAAGTTAGTTATTTCGATCTATATCAAAAATATTTACCGTCATATATAACTTAATAATTAGTGAAATTTCTAGTCTAGACTCATATAAGCATATCGATTAAGAGAATGTAAATGCGATGGAAACTGGCTAAAATAACTAACGAGAATTTAAAAGACAGTCACTTGTGGATGGGGAACAAATAAATGATGGCATTCATTCAAAAAGGTCAAATAAATACGAATTCTTAATGAACATGATGAACTCAGTCCTACTTCAAGCTAGCTAGGCGGAGAGCCCGGATGTGGAAGACGAGGGGCGCCGTTTTGGTTACTACCGGGTGACGGCGCCGACGGCGGAATCAGTCCACCCTTTGGCAGCATCGCCGAAAAATAATCTGGCGGCGGCGGAGAGTCATTGTTGTTGACTACGACCACCGTCTTCAACCTCCCTCCGCCACTTGCATCCACGCCAACAACAATGCCGATGCTGACAACAAACCAAATGGCAAGAAGAAGTTTAATGGAACCCAAACCTCCCCAGCCGCCGGTTCTTCCCTTAGCCGCCGCCGCCGCCTTAGTCCTACTCATCTTCTCGGCAGTTCTCGGTGGATTTTCAAGCAAAACAAAAAATGATATTAGGTGATTGTGTCTTGCCTGAAATTGTTTGGTAGTGATATACGTTGTAAACAACCCTTTTATAGACTTGTGGCGTACTTAAAATACAATCACTCATAATAGAATCTTTTTAAAAATACATTGGGAAGGATCACTCACACAATCCTAAGTATGCAATTAATGGTTGCAACTTTTCATTGGGAACTTTAAAAGTCATGCATTGCATGTGTGTATATAATTACTCCCCACCAGCCACTTCAATTTGAATAATCCTACTATATTTGTACTTGATTAATGGATGCGTCGTTCTATAATAATTTCTTCTTCTATTTGAATTCTAATTAGAAATCTCGATTCGATCAATAATTCAATACCGGATAAGTGGCGGCATTCTTTCCTTCAAAATAGTTAAATCCCAAATTAAACATAAGATCCTCACGTCCCGACTCGATAAGATCAGACATGAGTTGTAAATCATGGTGAATTAGTCAGTTACTGCTTATATATATCCATGTAAAAAGAAATGTTGTGTATGAGGATATAGACTTGAGATATTTGGTTTTTATTTGATTACATTTTTTGTGCTTCATTACAAAATTTAAACTCTATTAATTATATTATCGATTATCAATTCGACATATTTTGCAAAATATTATCCCGTTACACGAGTACTATACTAGCTTAGTACGTGTTAAAAATAATAAGATATTTTGCAACCGTTCTATAACACGATTAATAATTAAGTACGTAAAGTGAGATTTTATTCAATTTGAATTATTTGATTGTATATAATTTTTTCTTGTTCACTTTCGGAATTGTTAGATTCTTTAGACAATTCATTTACTCTATTATTGGTTATTCGTAACTCATTTGATGTTCATATAATATAGGTTGATCGCTAGTATGTCAGTGGTATGTAGCAAGTAAGCTAAGGCACATAAAAGTTTTAATGGACTACTCACTCTATCCCTTAAAACATTGTCCCTCTTTTCGGCACAAACCAAATCACACAATATTTACTTTATTAAAATCTCGCATCGGTCAAACTTGACAAGTTTTAAGGGAGAGAGGGAGCGAGCATTAAATTGGACTATTATACTGGGTGGCCTTTGGATAAAAAACATGGAAGAGTACCTTTTTCTCTTAAAATAATTAAGTTACAATGTGTATATTAATTTGTATGGGATGTATATGGATTTGAAAAATTGCGTTTCAGCCAAAAGTAACCGTTTGAGCCCTTTTAACGTTTTCAATAAATTAATTAAAACGTTGTTTGGTAAATAGTGGTTCGACCCTAGCATTTTTTAACAAAAACTGCTAAAATGGAAACTTTACAAATAAAGGAGTTTCGGGGTCAACGTTTTGAAATATGACGTTTTCTACTACTCTCTTTGTTCCTAAATATATTTCCCGTTTGCCCTGTTGGGACGCCCCAAAAAATTCTTTCTATTTCCTTTTTTGGAAAGCTAAGGTTTGTATGAGTGTATGACTACCATTCATTTACTCTTTTCTTACTCACCCACAATCATATATTTTAACTTTACTCCCACTTTTTAAAACTACAATCCATACCAAACAGCTATAAATACGCTAACATAACCCGCTATCCGTTGTTAGACCTATTTTAAGATTTTACATTATTAATACTCCGTAGTAGAAATTAATATATAATCTCTATAAGCATGAATATTGTTAGGGGTATTATGGTACTAAGAAAAATGTTCGTGTCTTTTTTTGCATTGGCCGATCGTACCGGATGCATATTAGGTTATACAACTTGAAGGAGTTTTCGGTTGTCACGGTGCAAAGGCTCACGGTGTCAAACTTGCCGTTAGGCTTAAAGCGAGGATATTTGACTATTTCTCGGTCATCACCTATACGAGGTACTTCGTATTTCACATGCGACCTTCCCTTTTCTTCTTTTCCGTTCAAGAAAGGCCGTCAAGCAGCCGCTTTCATGATTTTGAAACTGTTATATTTGGATGCTCAGGAGTCCTCTATTATTCATCTATAAATATCTGGCACCTGCTATGTAGCATTTTTTTTTAAATTCTTGACATTGTTTTGTAAGTTCTTTCTTCTCTTCTAATGAATTATATATTTCATTAACATTTAAATCCAATTCATTTCTAAATTAGCATAGTTGCTTTACCTTGCACTAGCTTGCTTCTTTGCTTGTGTATTGTTTGATTGATTTAATTGCCCTGTGTTTATATTCCTTGCTTATTTGTTTGTATCCCTTTCTGTATTTTGATTGCTATGTGTTTGCTGAAATGCCAATGTGGAGTATTCTAGGTAACTACCTCACATTAACTTACAGTTGGAGGCTGTTTTTTCTTCTCATTTTCACCTCCTTTTGGTTTGCTACTATGTTAAATTCAGTGTTTAGGAAATGGTGAGGAATCCCATTTCAGACATGAGATGGCTACCATTATACTTTTCAGCAAGAAAAAAATGCAGGTTAGTAATAACATTGCATATTGCTTACCCAATTTACCCCATTTTAATTTAAACTTAGTTGAGCAAATGTGATGGTACTTAAGATTAAACTTCGAGCTATAATCTTTTGTTCACTAGTTCAGGAGAAATCGTGATTTTGATGCTGATACATCTGATTCCAATAATTTTGCTTTGTTTCTTTCCAAGTGGGTAGGTTTTATATCATGGAATCAACCATCCCTGCTCTCTCTCAAAATAACCAACAAACAATGGCTTCCTTTTCTTAAAAAAAGAAAGACTAACTTATGCATTTAGAATAATAAAAATCCTAAAGCATAACTACTTAAGAAACTCTGTTAGTTTGAAATGCTCGTGTTTTACTTTTAGTTTTAAATTTTGTAGAATGATTGCTTTTAAAGCAAACACAATTAGCTACGGAGTATTTTTCAATGGGACAAAACATTGCTTTGTCTAGCACGTGTAAACCATCACTACAACAAATTTCATTTATAGAGGCAACTCGTTGGGGCAACTTACATATTATTGCCCCAAAAAACCTACTTTTGCATCAAATGGATCATGGTTGCCTCTAATTTAGAAGATTTGAGGCAACCTTATTGTCTTTGCTTCTAAAGGGTGCTATTTAGAGACACACTCTTATGGTTGCCTGTGAAAAGTCCTATTTGGAGGCTCACTTTTATGGTTGTCTCTAAAAGGAGTTATTTGGATGCACACTTTTATGATTGCCTCTAAAGAGTGCTATTTGGAGGCACACTTTTATGTTTGTCTCTAAAAGTATTTTTATTGTTATGTTTTTTTTCTAAAGAATATATACTCATAAAGGTCAACTCGTTTACAAAGGCATAATTTATACCAAGTACTTAACACGATTGTAATTATTTTTATAAGTATAGTTATAATAGAGTTATGATTATAGTTACAATTGTAATTATAATTACAATTGTACGTATTAACTAATAATAATAACAATAATAATAATAACAACAACAAGAATATCAACAACAACAATAATAACAATGGCAATAATAATAATAATAATAAACTTAATCAAATCGAAAATATTAAATTAGATCAGTAATATTCAAAGATGAATGATTTGGATCAAAACAGATAAAAAAGATTGAGACCTGCTTCTAATTATATGTTGCATAATTTTTAGAGGCAATAATTTTGAAATGTTGACATTCTTGATTATCTCAAATATGTAGTCAATATTATTGCCTCTAAAACCTCGAAATTCAAAACTTGAGGATTTTTAATCCAATTAATACCTTTTTGGCTTTTCCCCACTAGTTGATTAGTCTTGCACTCTTTTGGCGAAATCTACTAAAACAAATACGGAGTATAATTTACCTTTAAATCTAGCCATGAATAATTGTAGCCAGGAAAAAGATTTTTCAATTTTGTAAAATTTTGAATTTTATCAATTAAGAACGTGAAACATTGATTAACTGTTAATCTAGAAAAATTATTAATATAAAGTTTCAATAATAGAAAATATGAATCTAAGACTTAAAAAATCATGATTTTTAATATATTTTTAAATAGGTAATTTTTTAAAAATACTTATAACTTTAATATATTAATAAAATTTTATGATAAAATAATCATCAAATATTGCAATAATAAATACAAATTACTTGTACATATCTGTAAATTTAGGATATTTTGGAATTTTGATTGAAATTTGTACTTATACATATTTGTAATTTTCTTCTTGGGTAGTGGAGACTGGAGTGGATACGTTCCTTAAAATTTTTAGCCGATTATTAGCCGCCTCATCTTTTAGCGATTCCCGCTGGTTAACCCTAATTCAACCTTCGTCCAAACTGTTCAATCGCTATAAGCGGCTAGCAAAAGAGACATACACCCGCCTGCCCTGCGTCGATGGGATCTCATCAATGGCGGAGCTTTCAATTTGATTGCAACGGAGGACGACCAGAAAGAGACACCTCAAGGTCGGCAACGGGGGGCTTCTTACTAGACAGGGTCATGGAGTAGGTGCTGGTGGAAGGCAGATTGCGACCACACCCTAGAGGTGGCGAGACCGTTGGGTCGAATCCTACTCCCAATGTGACACTCATCGAACCGAGGGAAGGCGGCGTCTGGAATTTGGAGGACGACATCAGCTTCCCCTCGACAGGCTTACCCAGCTGCTTAGCGACCTAGGCCGCGTGCTTCTCCTCGCGTGACAGGCCTGAATTGTGAATTGAGGAATGACGGGTCCTTTTTGACAGGTCAAGGAGGCTTTTCCAGGGTTGACTGACAGAGTCATCAATCGGGCTTATAGTAATCTCGAGATGGAAGAACAACACAAACGGCAAAGAGGTATTGGTAATCAAAACATTCATTCTCTATGGTCTGCATACAATTTTTTTTCTTTTTATTTCTATATTCTTGATTACAATAATATTTGTATTTCTGAATCAAAATATTGTATTTTGTGTGCTATTAAAAAAAGATTATGTAAAATCTAATTTTCTAGAGTTGATAGGAATATCAAATGATTTTGATGCTCTATTCTTAAAGAGGGTGATTTTTTGTTAGCTTAGTTTTTTTATAGAGTTGGGCAGA